TTTTTTTTTTTTTTTTTTTTTTGAGACGGAGTTTCACTCTTGTTACCTAGGCTGGATCTTTTGACCTTGTGATCCACCCACCTCGGCCTCCCAAAGTGCTGGGATTATAGGCGTGATGGGATTATAGGCGTGAGCCACCAAGCCCGGCCTCCTGTCTCTTGCCTCAAAGGAGGAAGAAGTAAAAGTTGAGACATAGCAGGCATGAGGTCAGAGGCAAGGGCTGATCAGGCCTAGAGGTTAAAGATTAAACCCCCCACCCTTATTCACACTCCTATCTCTAGATAGCAGGCATAATATGGAGAAAACACCCTCCATTGTTCTTGCTCAAACCCCTACCAGCTACTCCGGAGGCCAAGGCTGGAGAATCACTTGGACCTGGGAGGCGAAGGTTGCAGTGAGCTGAGATCACGCCACTGTACTCCAGCCCGGATGCTGGGCGACAGTGTGAGACTCCATCTCAAACATAAATAAACAAATTAATGAAAAATAAAAAGAGCCTCCACCTCCCCCCACCCCCGTCTCTCTCTTGCTTCCTCTCTCTCCATGTGATCTCTGCACACAGCAGCTCCCCTTTGCCTTCCACCATGAGTTGAAGAAGCCCGAGCCTCTTACCAAATGCCCAGTCTTCCAGCCAGCAGAACCATGAGCCAAATATATTCTTTTCTTTACAAATTACCAGTCTCAGGTATTCCTTTGTAGCAACACAAATAGACTAAGACAATTCCTCTACAGAAAGCCTGTCAACCCCTGATCTAGGTGGGCTGACTGGCATCTGCTCCCTTAACCACTACACTAGACTGCCTCCTGGGCCCTCAGCTGGCAGTGATGCTAAATGCTGGTGTGTTATGACCCTCCAATGAGATGCATCCTTTGGAGAGAAGGAATATGATCCTTCTTAGGTAGTTTTTTTTTTTTTTTTTTTTTTTTAAAGACGGGTTTCACCATGTTGGTCAGGCAGGTCTTGAACTCCCGACCTCAGGTGATCCGCCCACCTTGGCTTTCAGAGTGCTTGGATTACCAATGTGAGCCACTGCGCCTGGACCTAGGTAGTTTTTCTTTCTTTACTTTTTTTTTTTTTTGAAGGAGTTTCACTCTTGTTGCCCAGGCTGGAGTGCAATGGCATGATCTCAGCTCACCACAACCTCCTCCTCCCAGGTTCAAGCAATTCTCCTGCCTCAGCCTCCCAAGTAGCTCGGATTACAGGCATGCAACACCACGCCCAGCTAATTTTGGTTTGTTGTTGTTGTTGTTTGGGTTTTGTTTTGTGTTAAGACAGAGTCTCCCTCTGTCACCCAGGCTAGAGTGCAGTGGCACAATCTCAACTCACTGCAACCTCCGCCTCCTGGGTTCAAGCTATTCTCCTTCCTCAGCCTCCTGAGTACCTGGGACTACAGGTGCATGCCACCACGCCTGGCTAATTTTTCTGTTTTTAATAGAGATGGGGTTTTACCATGTTAGCCAGGCTGGTCTCAAGCTACTGACCTCGTGATCCACCGCCTGGGCCTCCCAAAGTGCTGGAACTACAGGCATGAGCCACTGCGCCCAGGCTTAGGTACAGTTTTTATAGTCATATATTTGGATTTTATTAATGAACATTTGTCTCAAGAACTGAACAGTAATGTAACAGCTAACATGTGATGCATAGAAGACAATATAGTAGTAAATCTTTGTAACTTTGGGTGAAGCAAAGCCTTGGATATGAAACCAAAACACAAAAGACAAAAGAAAAAAATAGGGCTGGGTACAAGTGTTGTATTTGACCAGAGCGTAAAAAGTTACCACAAGACAAAAGTATGCCAGATTGCAGGGTCATTTATTATGCCAGCGACCACAGAGGACTCACGTCTCTCCAACCTGTGGTGCCAAAAGGAGGGTGCCATGATTTTTTATACCCGAAAAACCACCTTGGGAGTGGGGGTGAGGGGCGGGGATGGGGATGATAAGGTTTCGGACATTTCAAGGTCTAGGGGATTCTGTGATTCACCTCCTGGGTGGAGACAAGGGCGGGGGTCTCCGGACATTCCAAGGGCTAGGGGATTCTGTGATTCACCTCAGTGGTTTACAGAAGTCAAGATATACATTTGTTTACACATCACAGATTTTAGCAGTTACTGATAAGAAAAGGTAAGCAGCTTTACATAGTTTTGAAGAACAAACTAGCAGTTCTATTTACAGAGGCCAAGGACAGTAGTTATTGTAAGGAGAATGGGGCAGCCATTTCAACTTATCTAAAAACAGTTTTGCATTTTATAAAATAGTTTTGCTCCGGTTCTGGCTCTAGGCCAGCACAATATCACACAAGTGGCTCACGCCTGTAATTCCAGCACTTTGGGAGGCTTGCTTGAGCCCAAGGAGTTTGAGAACAGCCCAGGCAACATGACAAAACAAATCTCTACAAAAAATACAAAAATTAAAAAAAAAAAAAAATTAGCTGAGCACGGGGGCATGCACCTGTAGTCCCAGCTACTAGGAAGGCTGAGTGGGGAGGATCGCTTGAGCCCAGGAGGCTAAGACTACAGTGAGCCATGACTGCACCACTGCACTCCAGCCTGGGCAACAGAGCAGGAACCTGTCTCAAGAAAGATAAGAAAAAAAATAGATATATTGCACTAAAAAAAGTAAAGGTGTCTAGGCTTCACCCTCAGAAATCCAGATTGAAATGAGTTGCAGTGGGATTCAAGCATCTGTATATTTTTAAAGCCTTGACATTGATTCCACGTATAGCACCCACTGCCTCTTTTGGCAAATTACATATATTTATCCCTGGACTACTGCACACTTTCTGATGAATGGCAGATTTTGAGCTGTTCTCAGTCTGAAAGTCAGCTCACTTAATCTGTTTCTGTGTCTGCCACGAAGTTGTTGAATATAAATACTGTACTGCCACAAACGACTGGAGCCCATTCTCTTGCTCGTGAACTCTTCTAAGCATTAGATAGTGTCATCCAAAAGACCACCAGGATGGCTAAGTAACAGGAGAGTTGTATTGGTGATATCAGTTCACAAACCAGGAAGAAAGTCTCCTGAGTGAGTGCATGCAAGCGGCTCTCTCTTTGAAAGGAGAAAGGGCAGGTTGGGTTTTATGCCTTACAGAGCCTGTATTACACAATGGAATCATACATATTCAGCAGGTTTGGGGAAAAGACTATGCATATTTATGAGGGGAGTTTAGCACATGCACAATGAGTCAACACATATGTAACATACATCCCGTGTTCACTTGGGGGTAGGGTTTTAGCAATAAAATGAGATGGATTTGGCTTTCTTTTTTTTTGTTTTTTTTTTTTTTTTGAGACGGAGTTTCGCTCTTGTTACCCAGGCTGGAGTGCAATGGCGCGATCTCGGCTCACCGCAACCTCCGCCTCCTGGGTTCAGGCAATTCTCCTGCCTCAGCCTCCTGAGTCGCTGGGATTACAGGCCCGTGCCACCATGCCCAGCTAATTTTTTGTATTTTTAGTAGAGACGGGGTTTCACCATGTTGACCAGGATGGTCTCGATCTCTTGACCTCGTGATCCACCCGCCTCGGCCTCCCAAAGTGCTGGGATTACAGGCGTGAGCCACCGCGCCCGGCCTGGATTTGGCTTTCTATGTCGAAAGGGGATTTGGCTTTCTATGTCAACATGGTGAAACCCCGTCTCTACTAAAAATACAAAAAATCAGCTGGGCATGGTGGCGCATGCCTGTAGTCGCAGCTACTCAGGAGGCTGAGGCAGGAGAATTGCCTGAACCCAGGAGGCGGAGGTTGCGGTGAGCCGAGATCGCGCCATTGCACTCCAGCCTGGGTAACATGAGTGAAACTCCGTCTCAAAAAAAAAAAAAAAAAAAGAAAGGGGAGGTATAGGACACAAAAGCAATTTGTGTGCAGCCTCTTTAAGCTGGCTGAAACTGGTTTAAGGTCTGCAGTTGCTTATCAGAAGGGAATGTCTGTAAGGTCCATCCTCTGTCCAGAGTTATTTCGGTCTGAGTGTAAATCAAAGTTAAGAGGAGTCAAGGGTGAAGGTAGAAAGTGATCTGGCTGGGCCAGGCGCAGTGGCTCATGCCTGTAATCCCAGCACTTTGGGAGGCCGAAGTGGGTGGATCATGAAGTCAAGAGATAGAGACCATCTTGGTCAACATGGTGAAAGCCCATCTCTACCAAAAATACAAAAATTAGCCAGGCGTGGTGGCACACACCTATAGTCCCTGTTACTTGAGATGCTGAGGCAGGAGAATCGCTTGAACCCAGGAGGCAGAAGTTGCAGTGAGCCGAGATAGCGCCACTGCACTCCAGCCTGGGTGGCAGAGCAAGACTCTGCCTCAAAAAAAAAAAATAGTTAAGAGGAGCCTGATAATTTGCATGACAGCTCCTGTTGTTAGGGAATTTAGCAAAAGTGTGGTTTTTCTTGCGTTCATAGGAATTTAGGAAAGAACTCATGCCAACCAACACCTGAACCTGTGACCTGTAGGTAATTTTTATTTCCTTAAGCCTAGGGTCCATCTTAATCAAGAGAAGTCTGTTTTGGGCTCTCAGCTGACAATACAAACAACACTTCCCCCTTGTCTGGACTGAGAAGCAAAATCCTAATAACCGCTTGCCAGCAAGACAGGAACACAACAGGAACCAGCTGTGGGGATTTGGGAAATTGTCTAACAGCAACTTTTTCTGCACAGCACCCTATTCTGTTCAGAATCTTGAACCTGGCTACAGTTAAGGGAGCCGCACCCACAGATATCGGCCAACTACCTAGCTCAGAGAACTTCAGTAGCTTCCCTTGGCCTTCACCATGGTCTACGTGGGCTGATTCATTGCAACAGTCAGGGTTCAATGCAAAAATACATTGCTATGGGATAAGAGATTTACTCTAGGAATTAGACCTTACAGAATTATAGGAGGAGGCCGGACGCTGTGGCTCACACCTGTAATCCCAGCACTTCCAGCACTTTGGGAGGCCAAGGCAGATGGATCACCTGAGGTCCGGAATTTGAGACCAGCCTGGCCAACATAGTGAAACCCCCATCTCTAATAAAAATAGAAAAAATTAGCTGGGCATGGTGGCGAGCGCCTGTAATCCCAGCTACTAGGCAGGCTGAGGCAGGAGAATCACTTGAACCTAGAGGCAGAGGTTGCAGTGAGTCAAGATCTCACCATTGCACTCCATCCTGGGCAAGAAGAGTGAAATTCCATCTTAAAAAAAAAAAAAAAAAAGAAGTGGATACCTGCTCGGTTCCAAACCAGTGTTGTTCAAGGGTCCACTGTGTGTAACCACAGGTTCTATTCATTTGGAGAACTCTATTACTCCCTCTCTCCTGCCTCGCTTTTTAATTCAACTTAATTTCATTTAATTTTGAGATGGAGTCTCACTCTGTTGTCCAGGCTGGAGTGCAGTGGTATGATCTCAGCTCACAGCAACCTCTGCCTCCTGGGTTCAAGTGATTCTCCTGCCTCAGCCCCCTGAGTAGCTGGGATTACAGGCACCCGCCAGCACACCTGGCTAATTTTTGTATTTTTAGTAGAGACGGGGTTTCATCATGTTGGCCAGGCTGGTCTCGAACACTTAACTTCAAGGGCTCCACCCACCTCGGCCTCCCAAAGGGCTGGTATTACTGGTGTGAGCCACCATGCGCAGCTCACTCTTCTTTCTGCTCTCAGATGTTGCCACATTCTTTCCCACTTCAGGGACCTTTGCTTCTATAATAACTGACCATCTTTTTTCCCTCACCAAGTCCCCATCTAGTCCCTTCTTCCTTATCCCCTAAGACTCAGCTAATGTCATTTTCCTTGGGCTTCCACGACAAGTGATATCATATATATTTTTCTCTCGTATATACAATTTGGTATTGTACATATACAACACAGAGACAAGTATCATGATACAGCTTTGGGTTGTACATTGACTTACTTGCAGTATCTCTTTCTTGGGCCATCTCTGAAGCTGCTAGAGGGTAAGGAGTATGTCTATTTTATTCACCATTACATATAATAGGTCCCTTAAAATGTATTCATTTATTTTTTAATAGAGACGGGGTTTCTCCATGGTTTTTTTTTTTTTTTTTAAAGACGGGGTTTCACCATGTTAGTCAGGCTTGAACTTCCGACCTCAGGTGATCCGCCCGCCTTGGCCTCCAAAGTGCTTGGATTACAGGTGTGAGCCACCACACCCGGCCATTTCTCCATGTTGATCAGGCTGGTCTTGAACTCCTGACCTCAGGTGATCTACCCGCCTCGGCCTCCCAAAGTGCTAGGATTACAGGTGTGAGCCACCAAGCCCAGCCAAAACATATTTATTAAATGAGCAAAGTGACCAGGCGCAGTGGCTCATACCTGTAATTCCAGCACTTTGGGAGGCCAAGGCAAACGGGATCACTTGATCTCAGGAGTTTGAGACCAGCCTGGCCAGAGATGGGGGAGAAACCCCAGCTCTACAAAAACTTTTTGTAAAAAATTAGCCAAAGCCAGGAGTGGTGTCCCACACCTGTAATCCTAGCATTTTGAGAGGCCAAGGCAGGTAAATCACCTGAGGTCAGGAGTTTGACACCAGCCTGGCCAACATGGCGAAACCCTGTCTCTACTAAAAATACGAAAACTAGCCAAGCGTGATGGCACTTGCCTATAATCCCAGCTACTCAAGAGACTGAGGCAGAAGAATCACTTGAATGTGAGAGGTGGAGGTTGCAGTGAGCTGAGATGATGCCTCTGCACTCCAGCCTAGGTGACAGAGCCAGACTCCGTCTCAGAAGAAAAAAAAAAAAAAAGCCGGGCGCGGTGGCTTACGCCTGTAATCCCAGCACTTTGGGAGGCCGAGGCGGGTGGATCACGAGGTCAACAGATCGAGACCATCCTGGTCAACATGGTGAAACCCCGTCTCTATTAAAAATACAAAAAATTAGCTGGGCATGGTGGTGCGTGCCTGTAATCCCAGCTACTCAGGAGGCTGAGGCAGGAGAATTGCCTGAACCCAGAAGGCGGAGGTTGCGGTGAGCTGAGATCGCGCCGTTGCACTCCAGCCTGGGTAACATGAGTGAAACTCTGTCTCAAAAAAAAAAAAAAAAAAAATGTAGCCAGGTGTGGTGGCATGTGCCTGTAGTCCCAGCTACTTGAGAGGCTGAAGAGGACTGCTTGAGACCAGGAGGTTGAGATTACAGTGAGCCTGTATCATACCCCTGCACTCCAGCCTGAATGACAGACCAAGACTCTGTCTCAAATAAAATAAAGAGCAAACCTAGTCATTTTCAAGGGCAATGTTTGACATAGTATTTTAGAGAGAAAATAAAATCACTCCCTTGCTTAATATATGACATTGTTTTGCTACATAATTTATGGTCTATATGTAACAAAAGAAAGCAATATTTAAAAATTGCCAGCAGGCAAACGTTAGCCTTATCACACACCAACCCAGCCTGGGTTCCCTCTGGGCCTGGAAAAACCATTTAGAAGCAATTGCTGAAACTTTGTTTGTAGCAGTAATTAAATAACCAGCTCCCAGCAGGAGTCTTAATGGCTAGCCTAAGAGGTCCTGAAAGTTTTTAAGGCTTAATAGACTGCATACACTCTCAGCCCTACAGAATTCTTAAATATCTGCATAATTTTCTCTCTGGGAATGCTTTATCTGAATAGACTATTTTGGTTTAAAAAATATTTTTGCAAACTTTCTAAGCAAATATTCCAGACAAGTCATAATCCCAATGATAAATGAGATTCCCACTGCAACAACCAGTTAATGAACACAAAGAGGCTTGTGGAATGCCTGACATACAGCAGGTGCTTAATAAATGGTAGTTGCCCCAGATGCCGTGGTTCACACCTGTAATCCCAGCACTTTGGGAGGATGAGGTGGGTGGATCACTTGAGATCAGGAGTTCGAGACCAGCCTGGTCAACATGGTGAGAACCCATCTCTACTAAAAATACAAAAATTAGCCAGGCTTTGTGGCACGTGTTTGTATTACCAGCTACTCAGGAGGCTGAGGTGAGAGAATCGTTTGAACCCAGGAGAAGGAGATTGCAGTAAGCCAATATTGCACCATTGCACTCCAGTCTGGGCAACAAGAGCGAAAAGTCCATCTCTAAAAAAATAAATAAATAAATAGTAATTGCCTTCCCCCATCTCAACAGCTATTTAAAAGTCCTACCTATTATCCGGGCAGGGTGGCATTCACCTGTAATCCCAGCTACTTGGGAGACTGAGGTGGGAGGATTGAGCCCAGGAGTTTGAAGCTGCAGTGAGCTATGATTGTGCCACTGCACTCAAGCTGGGTGGCAGAGCAAGACTCTGTCTCTTAAAAAAAAAAAAATTCTTATGGGAGCCAGATGGAAAAATATTCAATGTCAGGAACATCCCTAAAGAGACCAAGCTTGTTATTCCAAAAAGTTATTTCTGAATCAGTGTAATGTTTTCTCCACTTTTTACTTCACATTTTACATTTTAAAAAGGAGAAACTGGGCACAGTGGCTCACACCTGTGATCCCAGCACTTTGGGAGGCCAAGGCAGGTGGATCACCTGAGGTCAGGAGTTCGAGACCAGCCTGGCCAACATGGCGAAACTTCATCTCTACTAAAAATACAAAAATCAGCCCAGTGTGGTGGTGGATGCCTGTAATCACAGCTATTCAGGAGGCTAAGGCAGGAGAATCACTTAAAGCCCAGGAGACAGAGGTTGCAGTCAGCTGGGATTGAGCCATTGCACTCTATCCTGGGTGATAAGAGTGAAACTCCGGTTCAAAAACATTAATTAATTAATTAATTAAAATTTAAAAAGATAAAAGAAAAAAGCATGCTGATTTACAACTAAGCCTCAAGATGAAGTAGAGGTAAGGCCCAAAAACTCATTTTAAATATTCATTTTCCAGCCTGGCCAACATGGTGAAATCACAGCTCTACTAAAAATATAAAAATTAGCCCGGTGTGGTGGTGCATGCCTGTAATCCCAGCTACTCAGGAGGCTGAGGCAGGAAAATCCCTTGAACCTGGAAGGTGGAGGTTGCAGTGAGCTGCGATTGCACCACTGTACTCCAGCCTAGGTGACAGAAAAACAGTCTGTCTCTAAATAAATAAATAATTATTTTCCCCTGGGAAATTTCCTTTACTTACCTATTTAATTTCTTTTGGGGCGTTTTCATAACCAGTAGCCTGAGTTAAGTGGCCCTTGAAAAAACAAAACAAAACAAGGACTCATCTGTTACATAGACTGGAGGCCGTGGCCCAATCACAGCTCACTGCAGCCTTGGACTCCTAGGCTCCAGCAATCCTCCTGCCTCAGCCTCCTGAGTAGCTGGGACTACAGATGCATACCACCACGCCTGGCTAATTTTTTACATTTTTTTTTTTTTTTTTTTTTTTT